GCGCTGGGGGAAGCGGGGCGCCTTGCTGGGTTCCTCTCCGAAGCCTGCGCCGGCGGTGACGCGGCGTGAGGGGCCAACGAGCCTGGTGACGGGGCAGCGGCGGGGCTCCCCGTGCCCGCTCCTCTCGCCTGAGCACCCTGCTTCTCCCCGCGCTCGTACGTCGCGGCCCCGGTCATCTTCGTGGCCCCTCGCTGGCAGTGTTGGGTACCAAAACTGCCTTCTTTTTGTCTTTTGTTTTGTTAAGGGCCTACTAATCCTAGCGTTGCTTGTAGAAGTTTTATATAGGCAGTTTTGAGATGTAAGGCATCTAAATTGCTTGTCTTGGAGGTGTCTGAAACTCTTCATCCTTACCCAGCTTTCTAGGGAGGCCTGCGAAGTCCGTGGGCGTCGCACCGTGACTGGCCTGCCCACAGTTCCTTTTTTCCCCAGTGGAAACTGACTGAGGAGCAGTAAGCGTAACACAAACCTGCTGAAAGAGTGCAGGCGCTCACCATTTCACTCTTTGTAGTGTCAAGGGTAACGGAAGACTTCAGCTAAAACTGTGTCAGTGTCTGCCGCAACGCGTCTGTTACACGACCCAATGATTACCTAAAACCTTAAAGACTGGTAATTTAGCAAATATTAGTATTAAGCAATAAAGAGCCTAAAAACTTCATGGAGGGACTCACATTAAGAGGCTCAGTATAACTAAGTTATGAAGACGTCCTTCTTGGTTGTAACTCCTGTTTATTTCCATTCTAGATAAACATCTGATAAAAGAAGATGATAGAAAGACGGTTGTAAGTACTTGCATTTTGTTCAAGAAAGCTATGTGAAACGTGCAGCCTCTTATTTTGTGCAAATCTGAGCGTGCGTGTATCGGCAACCACTGGACGTGGCTGTTGTACTGGGTGGTGCCGGGGTGGTGAGGCCGTTACCGAGCCTTACTGGGTGCAAACCTGCGCTTGCCGAGTTGTGTAAAGTGCGGTAAAGTCGAGAGGGGTTTGTGCAAACGCTTGGCATTGCGTAGGGCCAGGTGCCGGTTTGGGTCAGTGTTGCGTGGGTAGTGTTGCAGTTGCCCTACCCAGCCCTGCCTGTGAGGGTTCTTTTTGTATTTGGAATCTAATTAATTTAAGCTATAAGTTATTTTAAGACAGCTGAAACAAAATTTTCGTAGTTTATTTTAATTGTGCAGGTTTCTGAAAATAAAAATTTAATGTATCTTAAAGCTTAAGCTCTCTATTTAATGGATATTGGAATTATTACTTCAGTTGGCATTTGCTGTAAGTTGGAAGCTGAGTTGCAGTCTCTGCGGTGAGTTGCAAGTGGCCCTCGGAGCTGGCTGGGGCCAGGGGAGGCGGTGGGCTGCAGCTGGCTGCGGGGCCCCCAGGGTAGGGCTGCCCCTTGCCTGGCAGAGAGACCCTCGGTATATGTGTGTGACGGAGGGAAAAGGGGTGGTCTGCGGGGAGTCACAAAGTCCAAACTGATCCCCCGCGTCTTCCTATAAAAGAATCTATTTACGTTATAAGGAAATAGCATGCTTGATATGGAAAGAGTATATTTTTACACATGCCGTTTACTACTATGCGATAGCAGGGTTTTTAAAGGTGATACTGTTTTTCATCAGATATGTATCGAGGGGAACATTGCAAGTGGAAAAACAACATGCCTGGATTATTTTGCACAAACTACCAGCATTGAGGTACTGGATGTACATTTCTTTGGCTTTATTTACATCATTAAGCAGTTGCTTGTCTTAACAAAATTGACAGTTAACTTAGAAGTGTTGTCCTTTCTTAGACTAATGAGAAAGGAGCAGCAGGTTGTGAGCCAGTGCGCTTACTGGTGCACCTCCCCCTCCCCCAGCTATTTATAGTCAAATTGCAGAAGAGAAATTTAGATCATGTGTAACATAATGCCAAAATATCAGTAAAACCTGTGGATGAGAGTTTGTACCTCTGTAAAGTCACAGCAGCCCACATGGGTTGGGCATGTTTGGGCATGCATGTTTGCTATTTCATGTCACTTAAATCTTAGATGTATCTTGTAATAAGCAAAGTAAAGACAAAGAGGTAATGATGTAAAAATACTGATGTCATGTAACTGAGATCCTAGTAAATGGATGGCTTTTTTAAAAAATGAAAAATCTATTAGAATTGTTTCTGAAGATTTCTTAGACTGGTATGGTATTTGATTTCATATTGCTTAGAACAAGATTAGGGGAAGGGCAGGCTTACTGTATTTTAAACAAAATCAAGATCAAACCTCAGTGAGCAATCGCTTTTGTGTACATCAGATATTAATACTTTTCCCAGCAGACTTGGGAACACATTTGATAGTAAGTCTTAGGATTCATCATAGAAATGCTGGGTTGCCAGATATTGTTTTTGTTTGGTAATTTAAGAGGAATGATCCTTACGGAGTAAATAACTGTTAACCCAGAGGATAGCAAACTTGAATTTGCATTTAATTTGCAACATTTTTTAAAAAGCTAGTTAACTTCCTAGGCTTATCAGATTCTCTTAGGCCTGGCTCTCCAGTATGGTTGAAGTTTTAGACCCTGTCTAAACCAGGTAAGTCTCTTGTGATTTTACCTATTCAGGGTAGAAGCTTTTCTGATTAATTTTGTAAAAGTTTTGAATACATTTTGTTCATTAGATCACAAAAATAAAATGAAAAGTAATATGATAGCAGTCTGATTCTCTTTTCCTTTGCTGACAAGTGTTACTCTCTGAGAAATTAATTTGTGAGGGGATGAGCAGGCCATTGAAATGCAATCAGTACTCAGCTAGGCCATTCTTTCCCTTACATGGTACTGAGTTTGACTTCAGAAAGTGAAATTATATCCAGGCTCATTAGGTAATCGATCCAGTGTTTTATTTTGGTGGTTTAAAAATGCTAAAAAGATGTTGTGTAATGATATTACTTTATTTTTTTAACAGTGTTCATTATTACCTTTTGTATTACAGTATTCAGTCCTGGTTTTTGAAGAGGGATAAGCTTCCCCATACAAGTCCTGAATACTCTGACTTACTGAATGAGTATTCGTTAAAAATAGTTGTAGACTTGCAGGGTCAAATTAAGTATTTTGAATCTAAAACATGTTTAACATGGAGTAATTCTTTTTAACAAGGTTTTGACAGAACCGGTGACTAAGTGGAGGAATGTTCGTGGTCATAATATCCTGGTAAGTGGCAGAAATTATTTCTACAATTAAAACCACTGTTCCTTTAGAAAAGCATGCATGAGGACTTCTTGCCAATCAGCAAAACTGTTACGAAAGGTGTGGTCATAATCTCATACAGCAAAAAAAAAAAAAATAACCCTCCATGATGCAAAGGATCTTTTACTGTGATTGACATGCATATAATAGAAACATTGCATATAAAATGTGGTTTTGGCAAGGACTGGGTCTTTTATTGGGTATGAACTAAAGAAATTCACAGAAAGGTAAGCCTTGAGTGTGAGAGTTGTTTCTAAATCCACTTACGCTTATTTCAAAGAAGGGAAGAACATCACTCAGAAAGAGAGGGGTGGATCTGATCGGTTAATATTGTTTGACTGCTGAAGATAAGGAAAATTCAGTCCTGTGAGGTGTTGAGAGCTTCTGTTGTCTTTTGGGTAGTCATCGTCTCTTGGAACCGCTCCCCACAAGTATGTCCCTTTGTCACAGCTGTGCTCGGGGACAGCAGTCAGGGCTCTGACTACGTCTGCAGAGTCTGCAGATAGACTTTCGCTGGGGTGGTGGAAGTGGTTTCTGATGTCAGTCTTCCCTGCTTGTATGATCACCTCCATTGCAAAAACCTCATTGCTGGCTGAGATGGGTATCTATGCTCAAGCTCATGTGGAATTTGCTGTCAACACAGCGGTGTGGATACACCCCAAACCACATGTGCCCAAACATGTATTTGATGCAATTACTGCTAGCACAGGTCCTCTGGAAAAGTAAATTCTCCCTACTAGGAGTGGCTGATGCTTTACTTTCTTAGTATTCGTAAAGGGATGGAACACGCTTGGCTGTCTCATCACAGCAACCTGTGCACTTCAGAACACTTTCTGATTCTGATCTTGGACAAGGAGAAAAGAAAGAGGTCAGATCTGTGGACTGAAGCCATGCTGCTGAATTAAAGCTTGTCACCTCAGCAAATAGACACTGAATGATGTCTTATTTTGAATCAGATCTTTTCTCTGTTTTGCAGGATAGACTGTTGCTTCTAAGTGTATGTGTGTGTGGAATTGCAACAATCAGAAAGAGTGGAAGAACTGCTTTGAGGATCCTTTGGGAAGAACAGTTAGTTGTCTGTGTTAAAAGACACTTTCTGAGGCCCAGACCATACTTGCTGGAACCATATTTGCATTTCTGGATGGACTGGGTGTACTGAGAGTCTGTCAGTGCACAAAAATAGAGCAGCAGATATGTTTTTTCAATTACTAAACATATTTGAATTGTCTTATATGAGCTATGCTTTGGTCCTAACTGTTCCAGGTGCAGATTAATTCCTGTTGCTTTCAGCAAGCATTCCAAGCGCCCCACTTAGTGTCTCTAAGGACCAGGACTGTACTTCTTACATCTGCATTGTGGAGACCAAATGATCACTGAAGTCTTGTCAAACCTGGTGTCGGCGGTTTTAGTGCATTTCTTTTAGCAATTCTGTTGTTGTGCAAAAGCTTGTGAAATACCCAACTTCACTTTTTTTGCTGTTTGACCTAATCAGAATGTTTGTCTGTCTCACTTCCATCTCTAACCCCAGGGCTTAATGTACCAAGATGCATCAAGATGGGGGATAACATTGCAGACTTACATACAGCTTACAATGTTGGAGCAGCATACCAGACCAATGGTAAACAAACATATTTTTCTTTTAATTTAAAAAAGAGTTAGATGCAGTTATGAGTAATAAATATTTTTAACCTTGCATCCAAAAGTTAAGATGCTGTTTGCGTTCTTTCTTTGTTCCTGCAGTGAGTGTGAATTTTCACGGTGCAAAGACGTTGATAGGCTCAACACGTGCTCCAGGGGCGAAACATCTGCCTCCTACCTGCTAAGAACTTTTACTTCCCCAAACTAATACTGCTTTTTTTGCACCATCCATATGAGCTAGACTTGCACAAATCTTTTCATCATCATGCATCAGTGACTTGTCTGTAATTGGTCTCTATATAAATTTAGCTATTTCAAATCCTTGGCAAACATTTC